TGCAGCTCGTATCAGACAAAAATATAACCGCGTCTGCGGATTTTGTATTGCGCAAGACGAAATAAGGAATTCGACAGTGGACAGCTGTTACGGAAAACATTCTAATGGACTAGATTATTTCAGAAATAATAGTTCAGAACACGGAAACATAAACTGATTATGTAGATATTAAGAAGTCGTGGCAGATCGTAAATTAAAGCGAGGTGAAGAGTTAATCCAAATAGATAGTCTAAAATAGAAAATTTGGACAAATTTTACAAAAATCTTTAATATCATTCCGTGTTGGGTTTTTATTTTTTAATGGGTGATAATGGAATGGTAACCCCACCCGCGCTATCGGTATACACCGGCGAGGCACCAGTGAAGGATGATAGGTGAGGATTAAGTAGGTTAGTTAGCCCATCGTGACGAATTCATAAAGAATTGTTCACGACGGTTCCAGGGGAACCACGTGGAGGTCGACCTAATAAGGCATATTGCTAGCAATGGGGCTGTCAAATTTCATTACTAATAATCCCTTTCCCCCTTCCGTGTTGGGTTGACTGAAAGAGATCTCTGTCAAAGATAAGTCCACCCTTGCTCACAATATTTATAAATGCAATAACAATGTTATTTACAAGTGCAATAAAGAATATATAATAATAATATTTTAATAAAACTAATATTGGTATTACGATGAAAGTATTTGAAAAGGAATCCTTTTTATCTTAACTCTCAAGATGTACTTTATGTGAAATTTTATTTATGCCGATCGGTATTAACCGATGAGGAATTCGACGTCTAGAATTAGGCAACACGTCACTGTTCTGGGATATATGTGGTGCTGCTCCTATTAAAAAAATATTTAAAAGCGATGAATGTAGGGAATAATCTCTGTAATTTTTAACTGATTTAATAATTTTACAAAGGCGATGAACGTTAGAATAGGCGATGGTTGTCACTGTCCATCAGATGAGCCATCAGCTTGTGTACAGTTGTAAGATGAAATGTCAAAGATATAATATAAAAAACAAAGTTCGTGAGATTCAAGGGGGCAAGAGTGAGTTGTAAATTGTATTTCGGTACGGCCATATCCCGTGTATATTTGTTTAATTTTAAGGAATTGCACACTTGCTCTGACGCATAGCAGTGTTGACGCACGATTCGCACAACACGCTTTCCAGCTATTTTACAACGAACTGCCTCAATAATGCGTTTACATTCTCTGTTCTGTTTTTAAACAAGCTAATTAAAGATTAAACACTAATTTAGTAACATTGTAAAATATTACTCCAATATAGAGTCATATTTGTAACAACAATGTTGTTGAAATAAATGTTTTTCGACTGAGTTACGTTTTTCGCAGATTTTAAAGAAAAAGTATATAGGAATTTAGATACCTAACTGTACTTTTGTACTTAAACAAGTATATAAAGCATCCTATGTGTAAGTTTAATTTAAGCTGTATGCGTGTGTACTACATTTAAATAATTATGTTCTGTCGTTTAGGCGTGGTGGGGTAAAATAGATTATTTTTACTACTTATAGCACATTAATAAGGCATATACACATAATAAATATAGGCATGTACAATAATTAAGATTATGTTACACAAAACACAAAAACTGACATAAATTATTTTGATATAAAAACTAAACTACTAAATTGATTGATAGTATCAATCTGTAAGTATATTATTTCAGATAAAGAAAAAAAATTTCAAATAGGTTTACATCTGACAAAGTTATGGGGTAACTAAAATGCAACCGAAATGAGAACCTCTTTTTTTCTAATCGGGTAAATAGAGAGACAAAAGTACAAAAAAGGAAAATACATAAAAAGAAGTATTGTAGTATTTTTTTGTATGTGTATAATTTAATGCTTTGCTCTTAAAAGGGCAAAACATGGATTTATAATTAAAAGCCAGATATTGAATAAAAAAAATGGTAAGATCTATCAAAACATGCCATGATATTCATTAGTTTACTTCATATAGTAAATAATTTAAATATCTACTCATTATAATTCGGTAAAGGACCTAAGACAACGTTTATTCTACCTATATATGATTCCGCGTATCTAGTGAAATGTCTGCGACGAAAAATCAATAGGTAACAGCTTTCTGCTTACGTTCGGTCATATAAAGATACTGGTGTGTTAATATGACCTATTTATCTTTTTAAATGAGTAATTTAAATGTACAGATATCGTCATAGTCGTAGAATACTGACGGATCTGACAAATATTACATATATAGATCCGTCAGTAATTACGACTACGACGGTATTACATTTATTCCCAAATGAATATTTTAATATAAACATATTAAAATTATAAACCGTTCCAGTTTTTGCGCATATAATGAATTGATATTTCCTCTCATTCCTTAATAAAACAGTTGGTATTTATTAAATGTATATGAAAATTAAATTCTTCGAATTTTAGCAAAATAAACAATTCAAATTATCCCTTCCTTTCTCGTGGGTGTCGTAAGAGGCGACTAAAGGAATTTAATGGAATTTAATGCCCATCAGCAGGGTCCATCTTAAAACATTATCAAAGCCTGATTGCTATTGCCAAATGTCTTGCTAAGCGTAGCAATTACTAGTAATACTTCCCGTATGGGGGAGACCTATATACAGCTGTGGATAGTTAATAGATGATATCATAAAAATACATACGTTTGAAAATGTAATTAGGTACACTACAAAATAATTTGTCCATAGTGTATTACAAATAAAAATGTAAAACCTAACGTCTTTAGTCATTTATCTCTGGTTTAATGGTAGAGACGAGAAAGTGTGATTGATTTCTAGACAATTGCTGATGTTTATATTTCTCTTCTGCAAAAAGTGAGAGTTGAAGTTTTTTTAGTAGCAACATATGTGATCATATACTAATCTAACGAGCGTGTTTAGTAAAGCAACTTCCAAATACGGTAGTTGAAATTTTCTCAAATTCTTTCTCATTTGCGTGTAGGACTGAAATGAAAAATAAAAAACAGTTTGGGGCACATAAGGTTTATCGTGCTACATTTGAGGGGTGAATAAATAATTAAAATTTTATTGTAGCTATACTCTCACTTCAGTTGTGGTTTAAATACTAATTTATTTTTAAATATTTTTTGTCTAGGTATTTAAAAAGATTATTATATAGAGAGAGAGATTTAGATTTTAATAGTTGTATATTTTAATATCTTCAAAAGAAATAGTTAGGGATGATCTATTTAAAATTATAATAAATGTTTCTTGATATTATACAAGAAGCCTAAATATGAATTTTCCAGTTTTAAAGTTCAAAATTGACAATTCTTTCACAAATTGTACCAGTTTATAGGTATATAACATAACATGCGTAACATATTTTAAACTATGCATACCTTTGTTGAAATAACATACATATTTTTAATCAGATCAGTGATACACTCGTAAATGTATATTTTTTATTTAACAGATTCATTATATTTAATAAATGATTAAGAATCCCAGTGTTCAATTCTTATTAAGTTTGTCACATTAACTTGTTTATGGGTTAAATGTTGGAAATTTCAATATTTAATTATCATTGCAGAAAGAGTGTGTTAGATTCACATATGTGAATCTAACACACTCTTTCTACTATATAGTTGTAATAGATACCAGTCAAGTGCACTCGCACATTGACTGGGTTAATATGTTAAGACGACACATGATACTATTATGTCAGTCTCACATACCATGCATCAATGTATGTGTAAAGGTGGAGTTAGAACATACGAGCTCATCCTATTCCTTCAATTTTGTTTGTAGCATTGTATTAAATGAATATTTTCTTATTATGTAAACTGAGGAATTCAAAAAATAATTATTGTTTTTTACTAAAGCAAGTAATAACTGAAATGTTATTATAATACACTAGCCTAAGTTAAATATGCATAAAGTGTTGAACATCTAGATCACTAATGCCTTATGTAATAACATACTAAAAATCATTCTATTATATCTTAGTTATCAAAACAAAATATTATTGGTAGTTCAAAAATATTTCGTTGTGCGTTATATTGTAAAAAAGTAGATAAATATTAAAGCAAACAACTATTGCCCTTGGCGCTCAGGTTAGCACTTAGGATGCCTCATAACACAAGGCAAGGCAATAATGATTCTTTATATGGTGCTGATATGCTCACAAAGGAATTATAAGGATGCTAAAAGGACTATTTAGCGACTTGTTCACGATATATGAAAAAGAGTAACGAAGTAGGAAATTAATACAGTTATTTTAATAGATTGTTTTGGAGATATTACTACTACAACGACTACTGTTACAATGAATTGTAGTGGTAATTATATATTACCAAATTATTCTTATCTTACTAAGATAATAAAATTGTAAATGGACAATGTTTGTAAATGGGAGGTATTTAAGATTAATATGAGGGGTCTTAATACAAACAATAGATGCCAAAATAATAATATTCAGAATTTTTCTCAGTTTGTCTATATGTTTGTTCCGTGATGCCGGCAAAAAACTACTACACCAAATGGGACGTAGTGCTCACTATTTTGCTCCTGAAGATCTAACTTACAAGTCAGTGTATGTTCCATCTCGATACACCATCTAAACTTAGTCTATTTCATTGATTTTCCAATTGTTAAATATATACGTATGAAGTAGTGGGAACAAGATTTAACAATTTTAATACTAATTCAAATTAAGAATATATATTTTTATCTTTCACTGCATGTTAAATTTGGGGAAGGTTTATAAAGCTTTTCATTGCCCTAAGATGTTATATCATGTTAGTTACATGTATATATGTAATTTATTGTAGATTTTGTGTAATAAAAGTTTGTTATTTTTAGTTTGGGCTACATTAAAATTATATATATCAAAATTATTCAGATTTTAATTTGTCGTATAAATTTAAAAAAAGGGTACTAATTTTTCAACTTTATAGTATACATTTTTCCTCTAAATAATCAGCATCAATTGTCCTCTATTTTGTCAATAAAAGTAAAATCTCTATTTTATTTTATTTCCAGGTCAAAAGTGAAGCACGAAAATGACAGTGGTAACAAATCCAGCGTGTACCACGCAGTCTGACGACGAGATAGAGTCGGGGCACGAGAGCATATCTGGCGGAGAGTGTGGGCTTATGCTCGATGAAAACGCGCGATTATACGATAACGAGAAACAAAGTGATATCATTTTCGTAGCCGGTATTAACGGCGACACCTGGAGGTATCCAGGCCATCGACGGGTTTTAGCCGCTACAAGCCCTGTTTTCGCAGCTTTACTTTCTGCTAAAACTGATGTAATCATCGTTGATTATGTCGATCGTCGTGGTTTTGAGCAGCTACTCCGATATCACTATTGTGAACCAACGCAGCTCAATTCTGTGGCAACTGCACGGTGTGCTCTCGATGCGGCATACAAGTTCCTTTGCCCGCCCCTTGCGGAACGCTGTGCTCGACGTCTCGATGAGATGTTAGATGCAGGTGTTGCTTTAGAAATATTGAGGGATCTACGATTTCTATGTGCAAGATTACCTGGAGCCGCATCAGCACCACCTCTTCCAGCACTATCTGATGACGCCGCTGCAAGATCACTAGCACAGTGTTCACGTTGGTGTGATTCTCTAGCTCATAATGCACTTCTTGTGTTAGACAACGATGCCGACGCGGCTCTTACTGATGAACGACTTGAAGATCTCACATACGAAGATCTAGCTCTGATTGTGAAACGGGATACATTGCGAGTATCTAATGAACTTGTTTTAGTCGAAGCACTAACACGATGGAGTACCGCTGCTTGTAAACGTACCAAACGGGAACTGACGTCGAGTAACAAACGTGTAGCACTTGGCGAATTAGCATACTGCCCTCGATACCTTCTGTTATCGGGCGAAGAGTTAGATAGAGCTTTGGAATTGGAGTTGTTAGAACCAATGGAGCGGGCTTTAGTAACTGCAAGGGCTAAAAAGCTGTCAGCACCTGTTCCTGTGGGTGCAGAACAGGAGGCATTGCTGCGTAGATGGGCACGACCGCGGCCCAAGGAGCCAGCTGCATTGCCTGTACATTTAAGTTCACGCTCAGAGCCTCTTCCGGAACCACAGCCGAGCAAATTATGTGCGCGCCGTTCTAAACGGCCAAAACAGCCAAGTTTTGCGCCTGAAGAGAAACGCAAGAAACCTGGTTGCTGTGCGCGTTTCGGCGAAGGCCTTTTGAGAGCTTTTATCTGTTTATTTGACTGAAATTGAAGTATTACGTAATTGTATACAAAAACTACAGAATAGTTGATGTGTATGTGTGGAATGCTTAAAATTAATTGTGAAATAATTATATCGACGTGAACTTGTGTAAATATTATATGACAATTTATTTATTTACTTATTCACAACAAAACTATTGAAAAGTAAAACTGAAACATTACATTACATTAGTGTAAAACTAAGTGCACAGATAGAAAACGAACAGGTCTTCTAGTAAAATTTATATGTAAAATATGAGGGGATTGTAAAAGAAAAGTTAATACAGCGATAGATTTAGATGAAACTTTGTATGTAGAATGACTATACCTTTTGTATTTTTTTACAAACTAAATCCTTTAAATAGGTACCTTGTAAAATATTCGCTTCTTTATTATTTTCAAAATAATTATAGCTATCAGTTATTATTAGGTATGATTATTTATAAGAATAAATGAATACATACTTGCATTATACACACCTACTTCATATTTAATGAGAATGTTTGTTGGAGCTTATTACATCTATAGTTATAATTTGAAATTTAATTTGGGAAGTGACTAAGATGAGAGGAGTAGCAATTGTAACAAAATATATTTGGGTAGTTTTTTCTGAAAAAGTAGATTATTAATTAATAAATGTTTCAATACTTTGAATTCGTAGCGCAGCTACGGATGTTAATGTTTATGTGACTCTCATCAGTATATGGTAGCCGTATGTGTATTTTAATGTTGTGATATCTTTGTTAAAATAATTTGATGTTAAAATTGTCCAACAATTTCTTATTTAAGAATATGTTTATTCATATTTATTACACGTATCTATTTCAAAGAATTGGTGCACAAACTTTGTATTGACAAGTACTTACGTCTTAGACACGTTTAGAGTATTTTTTGTTGCATTTATATACATTTATATTTGTTTATTGTATATTGTTAAGTAAATAAATTTACTAGTTTTAAATTAGAATAAATTTTCCATACTTTAGTATTTGATATCTAGTCGTATGTTAAGTACATAATAATGGTATCTGTGTAATTTATTTACTGCTGTTTCTTGTATTGTTATTTAAACTTTTTGGAGGGAAGTTTTTACTTTTAGATTGTGCCATATTACTAAATGTATCTTTTTTCGATTAATGTTATTTTTTATGTAGGTAAATAAGTAGTTACTTTAACGAAGCTAGAAATAAATTCTTTTTCCTATTTAGCTAAATTTCTTTACAAGTTTTTCTCTATAAATTAATTAAATTGTTAGTCTGTTAAAGGTATTCTAATTTACTAGCGCGCTTGAACTTTTCTGTGGATGCCAGGAACTAGGGTTGCCAAATAATCTCACAAAGAATATGAGAAATTTTTAGTTAGGTGAACTAAAATAAAGGCAGTGGATAATAAAATATAATAGATACCTATCCTATTTATGTAAAATAATGTGTACTTATTTGACCTTTATGAGACACTGGTTAATCGGAAATGATGTAAAAGTTTTCTTGCATTAATATTTCTTTTTTTTTTTATTTTAAGAGAGCTTGCTCAATTATCTCGCCACTTAACGTTTATTGTGGATTTTTTTTATTAAATTGGAAGCAACATAATCAATAAACAATAATTTAGTTAATATTGGAAAAAGATTATTCATAGGTATCAATGCGAATCAGCACTATCTAAAAATTTGTTTACAAAATAACAGAGAAATGGAAATTTGTAGTCAAGCTAAAAGAAATTAGATTTGGCTACTATATATTTTTTGAACAGTATATAATATGTTGATCCAAAATATGGATAATAGAATACAATATTATATTATGTATAACATATTTAGATGGCAACCCTAGGTTAGGTACACATGTAGTATATACATGTTGTGATAGTTACCTACCTATATGTGAATTACAAGAATTGTACTTGAAATAATATTTTACTAAACATTATGTTAAGCTCATTGCCTGTTATATTATTATGTTATTTATTTCATAATAAATTGTCCTTGATAGTGGGCACTCAATTTTAATGTCAAAATAAATCAATGTGTTCAGCTCAGAGCTGTAGTTATAATAAAAATATATGAGGTTATGACATGTGTATTTAATTTTTTTACATCAACGAAGCACCATTATATAAAGAATTGACCTATTCAATTTGTGTAAATAACTGATACCTTTTCTTTCTTATCAGATATGTGTAATAGTGGATGTTTCCTTTCCTTCTAGAATGGGGACCCGGTTTCGAAAGGAACTCTTCTTAGAATGCAAACCGTGAGTCTCGTTATTAATAGTAAGTGCATCCAGACGTTTCACTCTTAGGAACATATCAGCTAGAGTAGATTCAGCGTTTTGCAAGTCTTTCCTCAAGCAGATCACAGTATTTTGTAATTGCAACATGGAGTCAATCTTTTCGTCTATTTTTCAAATTTGCTGTTGATAGATTCTCGTGCTTTTTGCGTCGCATCCATTTCCGACAAGATCCTGGACGTAATCACCTTTTTGAGTTCCCATAACTTTTTATCGAAATCAGTCTCTTCTTTACTGTCACACCGTTTACGTTCCCCTGTAATGGATAAGGTTCCATATTTATATCCTGAACTGCGAGACGTGTAGCAACTTTGATGATATACTTCCGACATGCTTCTGTAATTTAATGAATTCACATACCATTTCATTTTAGTCACATGTTTCCATTTACGTTTTTTTTTGGTAAGTAAATAAAAATAGTAAGTGAAAATTTGATTTCATGTCATGTCTACTAAATGTCATGATTGACTGATTTAAAAACATGAAAAAATTAAGTGTTCTTATTTTTACCAAGATTGAGGAAAATACCCAGGTGAGTAAAATAAAATTATACTTTACAAAGTAAATTCGTGCAGTTTTTTTACTGGAATTGGAATAAATTCCTTTACAACTGTTTCTATCTAAATGACTTCATATAATAAATGTAATTTAAGATTTTTTAAAAAACTAGAAAATGTCATTATTATAAAAAAAAAATGGAAAACAAACTGACGACAAATCTGACGGAAAGCGGTAATCGTTTCCTATACACGTGGTCTGCACAGCATCATGGATATTAAGGAATGCATTATAACGCTCATGATATCCACATGCTAGGGCATAGCACCCGAGTTTGCACACTTGTGTGTCTCTGTCTTGTTTACTGTCATATCTTACAATTAAAAAAATAATAAAAAAAAAATTAAATGTCATATGTATATAATGTCATAATAAATTAATTTTAATTATTATTAAAATTAATTTATTTTAATTAATGAATTAATTTTAATTTAATTAAAATTAAATTAAATTAATTGTCTCTTTAAATTGAAACACCGCAATATATGAAACTCATGAGGTAGAAGTATTCACGCAGACGACTTAGTACAAAGTGTCAAGGCATGTCGACTGTTGCCGTGGTTATGAAGGTTACACTCGACTTGTGCATATTCCATTACATTAAGCATATTGGAAATTAACGAAGTGAAAAGTGAAGCTTTTTGAGAATGATTGTTAAAGTTCAGGTACCAATTTATATTCGTACCTTAATTCTTGTCAGTCATATTTCTGTCTGTTTCATTAGGTACTCATACAAATTTAATAAATATAACAAAATTGTAACTCGACGATGTTTGTACATGGAAGGTATTGAATGTAATTTCTATGAGAGGCCTTAATAAGAGCAAAAGAAGCAAACCCATATTTTATTGAAATTTTGTCTGTCTGTACATTTGTTCCAATATCATGTAAAAACTATTGCATATAATTGGATGCGATTTTCAGAGTTGAGTACCTGAGGGACTAACTTAAAATGTTATAACTTAAAATTTTAATAAAAAAAGAATTACCTTTTTATTTTCAATTGTTTTATTTATATAAGTAATTAAACAATTAAAAGAGCTCTAGTAATTTTACAACAGGAACATAACCGTGGTCAGGTAGTAACAATAATTTGGCTATTCAATGTAAAAAGGAAGATGTTTTGAAAATTTTCAGCAAAAGATGGAGCCTGCTAGCTGGGAAATACTTCATTGCAGTGTTCTTCATGAGTATGTGTATATAATGTTTTGAATAAAAAAAAGTACCTATAGATTTCATATGCTACGTATATCCTTTAATATAAAATATATTACCTACTTGTGTACCAAATTTCATTCAAATTTGTTCTGTGGTTATTGTGTTAAAGAGTAACAAACATCCACCTATCGTTACATACTTTCATATTTATTATATTAAATGAATAATAATAATTAAAAGTAGTCATTGTTAGGTAGTTATTTTAATTGCATTAACGCTGAAAATGGTGATGTGTCTTGGAACCGTTTGCGAAGTTATTTTAGTACAAAGCGCCTGACCAAGTAATGTTGCAAGCAGGAAACATAGACGTCATCTATGTACATAAAACAATGTACATTGTAGTTGGATTTAGTATGATCACAATTACAAATACATATAATCACAATGGAAAAATATATTCGGTTGGTCATAATTTTATGGTACCTTATACGCCATCTATAGACTACTTGTAAGTAGTATAAAATTACAAGCATCATTCGAAACATGAAATAACTCATTAGTTTTATATGTTGCCGATAGAGGGCATTATGTGTAACTGGTCGGATACACTTGTTAATTCAACAATAATTTAATATAATTAATCGGATATTTTATCTGTTGTAAGAAAACATTTTAAGGCAGATAAAACATCCTTTAATTAACAATAATGGTACAATTTAGCAATTTTAAAGCATATTTCAGACATAAAATGTACTTAGTACAATAGATATACTTCATCCATTCTTTTACTACAAGGTGTTATTAAATAATATAATTAGGTGGTTTATATTTAATTGTCTATTTTATAGCATATAATGAAAAAAATGTGTAATTAATGAATTAATTTGAATGTTTATTTTAATAGAAAATTAATGAAAATTCATTAAAAATAAATTATTATAAGACAGTCTGCCGATGTCCAATAATAATAGTACCTCAAATTAAAAGTCAATCAATTGATTATATGTATCGATTTGTTGCTAATTTCCTATAGAGAGCGTTTCTGTGATAATTTGAACAAAACTTGGTTACATTTTCATTATGTTATATTAAAACAGAAATAGACATTAGCTTCTATTATCCATATTTCTAAAATATGTATCTGTATATAATTGAAACCAAAATAAGTTTATACTAATTATGAAATTTATGGATCTTGTAATAACTAAAAGACAAATCAATATTTTTGTTTAAGTGATCGCATACAAAATTGATACAAAATTCATGGACAAAAAAGTGATGTCTTTTCTATTTTGTTTTTGGCACCACAGATACAGTAACAGATATAATTAATAATTATAAATACATAACACCAATGAACATTTTTCGCAAAAGAAGCATGGTCAAAAAACCACAAAAAAATTTAAGCCTCTAATACGGTGCGTCAAGCTGTCAAGTTAGTGTGGTAAACTTAGCGATAAATAAGTAACTTTATGGGTGGTCTCATAAGTAAAAAATATTGTTTTGTTAAAAATTGAAGTAGTTTTTAGAGCTCTGTACTAAAAGGGTGGTGCAAAAGAACCCTTATAATGCGACTTAACCCTTATGTCCGTCCGTCCTTCTGTCGGTCACAGCGTTATATCTTAGCAATTACTAATGTTATGGATTTAAAACAGTTCACATACCATTAGCCCGCATAAATTGCAGTGGAAATAATTGAAAAAATAGTACATTTTTCTCCGTTAGTGGTTTCAAAACTGAATCTGTCGTAGCATAGCGTCCAATAGTTTATTGCTCTTATAAATTACAAGTTTATCTACAATTTATCAATATTTGAGTGAATAAAAGATATTTACGGGTATTAAACACTTCAACAATATAGAGTATGGTAGACTAGACGTCTGATGGCAACAATCATGATAAGTTTAGCTAGCTCTTGATTTTAACTTATCTGTATGTTATAATCTAAGCTTGTAGTATAATAGAGATTAAATTTTTTTTTTCCATTTTTATATCTTTCTTTTATTTTGCAATAAATTATAAATTTTCAATACAGTCCACTTTAACACTTTAAAATGCTTTTTCAAACTAAAAATTCAAAAGTTTTAGTTTGATAATTTAATGAAAATATATACATATTATGTTATGTATAACATATATGTAACTACATTTAAAGTAGGCAAATCTGACTTAACTCTATTATAAAAGTTCATATTAGTGCTGGGAATAATATTTCATTCAAAATTCAATTACATTCAAAGTGACATTTTTATTATAAAAAATAGCCCTCCGAGTTTTATTTAAAAGATAAAGACCCAAGTACAAGATAAACTTATTAGACTACCTACCTACAATACCATCTAGCGAACAGAAATAAAATCAACTATGAAAACATTAAATATGAAATTGGTATTGAGTAACATTCAGCTTTTCTTATATTGAGCAAAATGAAATGCGGTCGACTATTGTTAGAAACAGACAATGAACTGGACATAAAAGAATTCAATTTATGACTACTCAAAAATATAGTAAAAAAAAAGAACTTATTTAAAAACAATATTCAAGTTGTTCGACATTTAAACCAACAATAGACAAGAATCGATGGGTCCAAAGGTTTTTATCTCATTGTCAAGGATGACAATGGTGGAAGCAGGTTGGGACTTGCATTATTTCGAGATAAATTTATTTTTGATGAACTGCAAAAGTAGTCGTTTGACAGTTTTTCTGTATAAGATTATAATTTGAACACAATGCGGAGACATTAACCGTGGAGGGTTTTGCACATATGCGCCCAATATGTCTATTGTGCTTTGTGAACTGCCTGCGCTTAATAGATGTTGGTGTGAGAATTCCCTTTACAAGTGTTTTTTTTTTTTTTATTATTTTAGAAACACAGATGGATATTTTTTTACGTTTCTCACGATGTCACATTTAATGCAAAATGCCTTATTCATATTTATTTGTTTTATTATAAACGCAGTGCAGTGATCTAAGTAATTAAGTATATTACACCATTTAAATTTAGCGTGATATAATGATTAATTCTGTTTATTATAAAATTAATTTCGAATTTCTTTTTATAATAAAAAT